TACCAAGGGCTCAAGTAGAAAGCAAATGTTTTGAGAATGATGATGGCAACAAATGTACAAATGTGCTTGACATAATGGATGGATGGATGGATTGTAATAAGAGTTGTACAAGCTCCCAATAAAATGATTTTTAAAAGAAGAAGAAGAAACAAAGAAAGCCTCATCTTGCTCCCGTGGTTTTCAACTACTGACCTTGCAGTTAGCAGCCCAACTCCTAACCACCACACCACCAGGCCCCATAACTTATAAACACAACCTCAAGCCAGGTGTCCCAGGGTGACAGCAACAGCGATCAATCATGTTGACATAATGTGATGACAATGGCCCTTTACCTATGTAGCGTTCTTCCTCTCAAAAACCCACAACCCCAATCTAACGATGAGCAAAACATCAGACCAATCTCCTTGGGAGGCATTCTCCAAAAGACTCCTGAAAACCACTGAAGGTATAAAAAATAAGCAAAGTCTGAGAGATGGTCGCAGCCAAGAGGGACCTATGGGAAGATGACAGTTGGTCAGGCTGCATGAGCTCCTGGAACAGACTGAGGACATGAGGTAACACTTTCGAGAAGCCGAATGAAGTTTGGACTTTCATTCATCATAATGTGCTCAATAGTCTTCATTAATTGGGAAGAAACTCTGGCGGCACAATGGTGAAAGCACCTGGCTGCTAACCGAATGATCGCTTGTTTGACCCTCCCCAGTTGGGTCTGCGGGAGAAAGAGCCCTGCCCTGGGGTCCCATAAAGATCACCAGTGAGGACGCTCTGCAGGGCAGTTCTCCTCGGTCATGCAGGGTTGCTAGGGGTCAAAACAGAGTCCACCGAATGAACGCAGCAAAACATTGTGACAAATGTACTTGCTGATTGAAAATTTTAATCATAGGGGAATGAGCATGGAGTAAATGGGAGCTCTCTGGACTATCTTCATATTTGCTCTTTAATCTAAAACGACTCTGTCATAAATATTCTAATAAAGCTCACTATGGGTGCTAATGTGCTCTGAATATTAATGTGCTCTGAATATCCATCGCAGTGGGAAGGTGCAGGTAACCCAAATTAGAATTTAAAAAAAATCATTTTATTGGGAGCTCTTACAGCTCTTATATCATTCCATACATCAATTGTATGGAGCATATTGGTATATATGTTGCCATCATCATTTCCAAAACATTTTCTACTTGAGCCCTTGGTATCAGCTCCTCTTTTTCCTCCTCACTCCCCCATGCTCCCACCCTCGTGAATCCTTAATCACTTTTATATTGTTATTATTTTGTATCACACACTGTTCGCTGTCTCCCTTCACCCACATTTCTGTTATAGTCCCCTTCGGGGGGTGCTATATATCCAACCTCATGATGGGTTCCCCCTTTCTCCCCCTCCCCTCATGCTATCGACACTCCCACTACTGTTCCTGAGGGGTTATCTGTCCTGAATGCGATATGCCGAGAGCTCTTATCTGCACCAATGTGTGTTCTCAGTCTAGCCAGATTTGTACGGTAGAACTGAGTGTGTGTGTGTGTGGGGGGGGGTGCCTTCAGGAACCAGAGGACTGATGTGTTTCATCAGTGCTATACTGCAACCAAATTAGAATTCTAATTGCATTTTCTTCCAACTGTGATTAATATGTGTGCTTCTTAAAAATCACATAGAATTTAAAGACAGGTGGGTAGGTAGGTAGCTAGGCAGGCAGGCAGGAAGACACTGGAGCTTATTCCAGAACTATGAATCAGAAATTCAGGAGGATCAAGGGAAAAGCTGAGTTATGGATAAACTCAAGAGCTTTCTATGTGATGCTGAAGCACGTGCCTATATAACAATGACCCCATCGGAAGGATTGTTAATGTGGAGGTGAGATCGGTGGTTGCATTTGCCATGTGCTTTGAGTCCATTTGGAGTTCATTAGGTCTTGGTCTGTTCCCACGCAATGGGGTGGGGGGTGGGGCAGGGAAGGGAGTGAAGGTCTTTCACGTTTGGAAACAGTGACCAGAAGATACGGTACTGGCCCAGTGCCGGCAGCGCCCTCTCTCCTTTCAGAGAATGGCAGGTGGGCTTCTTGCAACTGGGTTGTGTTCATTTTCCCCAACAGTTCTACAGCGTCAGTGGGATGCCCACAAGGAACTTGTCGGACAATATCTGTGCCGTCTGTGGGCAGAAGATCATTGTGGAGCTAGATGAAGAAGGGCTCATTGAAAATACCTACCAGCTTTCCTGTAATCACGTGTATCCTTTTCACAGGAAACCACTTGGTCTTCATCAAGCCAATGTTGGGTGACACATTTCATATGATCTTGTTGGACGTGGGACAGGGCGAGTCAGGGAAGATCATCTTTGATAATGGTCCCTGGGTACTTGCATACACCCTCCTCACAGCCTCTCCTCCTCCTTGTCCCTTCCCTTCTGCCTTGCTGGTCTCCACTCCCATAGTCCTGGCCTCTACCCACCACTCTGATGATCTCCACTCAACAATGAATCTCTCCCTAGGGTGACCCTAGGGCTCCGTGCCACAGGGACAGGAAAGCAGCCACCTCTGAGCTGGGGGCTGGTTAGAACGGTTAGCCA